TCGACGAGGGATGAAAGTGGAAGTGGTGGTCTCTCACCTCCTCCACAAATATTTCTGCTCTGCTCAAATAAACTAGCTGGGGGTTCATCAAAGTCTCATCTGGGATGAAAATGTCTGTTCAAACAGGCCTTTGCGGTAATAAATCATATATATATAGTCACCCAGAGAGACCGTCAGATTTGTGATTTGAAAATAAGACCATTACTATTATGAACCATATTAAAGAGACACATAGAGATGGATAGATAGATAGATAGATAGATAGATAGATGTGAAGTCATCTACTTGCAAAGTTCATGACACAGGAAACGGATTTCAAATATCTTGGATGCTATCCGACTAAGTTCCTTTAGCAGTTGCTCGAACTTGCACTTGCATCCAACTGACTCATATGGAAACCTGTGCCAAACAGCTAATGGTAAAGGATGAAAAGATATATGATGACAGAGGGAGGGAAGTATGCTAGAGAGATGATATCTTGCTTTTATTCCCTTCACTATACATTGACTACAGGTCAAAGTAGCTGTGATTGCAAGAAAAAAAAATTCAACTAAAATCAAATTCACACTTACCTCACCACTGCGGGATCATTGTCATCATTTTCTCACTTTCTTGCTCCAGCTGAACACAAAAGGATAACCTCTGTATATCTAACAAGCTATTGTATGACTTCAAAGAGGAGCCCGACAGCCTCAGTCCCCATTCACTTTTATTACATGAAAAGAATGGCCAGGATATTCTTCAAAAATTCACTTTTGTGTTTCACAGCAGAAAGTCATTCAGGTTGGAGCAACATGAGGATGAGAAAATGATGACAGGAGTTTTCATTTTTGGCTAAAACATCACTTTAAAACGTTTAGCGAAGGCGCTTTAAATGGTTTTACTGTGTGAGGTAAGAGGCTGGAAGGTTATATTCCTTATAAACAGTGTGAAATACCAAGCACAGTGCAAACAAACCAATGAGCTTTTACACGGTCAATCACACACTTGTCAACTCTACCTGCAGTCTCAAATGTACAGCACTTGTGGAAATACCGACGGGAGCATAACAGCCTGGTGCCACGGGGTCGTTTAGGTTACATGCTTGTTGCTAGCCTGTCTTCAATTGTTGTTTGGACAATGGCTTGAAGGATCTGAGCAGCGGTGAGAAAAAAGTAGGATGCTGAATGAAGCCAGGCGTGAAAAGAAAGAAAGATAGAAAGAAAGACCCTATGTTTGGCCTTTTAGGGTGGCAAAAGATGGAGTTCCTCAGCTGATGCTGTGGTAAAGACAGGAAAAAGTAGCAGAGATGTAAAATGAAGATTCTGGTTACTATTTCAGTCAGCTCTGTGGAATTTCCCTATAAACTAAGAAGGGCTGCAGGATTCTTTAGCTCTATCTTTTATCTCTGTCCACTTCAACCAGAAGGGAAATTAAACAAAAGCAGTTAAATGTTTAAATGAATGAATGAACACTATCTCAATAAACAATGTAAGGTTGAAGGTTACTAATTGAATTCCACCAAACAGAAACAAAGTTGAATTTTCATGTCATTTGTTCAGGAATTATGCCACTGTGGTTGACAGATCTGGTGATTAAAGGAGGGGCTCTAGAGTAAAGCAAAGTCTACTGGAGTTCTGAGTGTGTTTGTTTATTGAGAGAGAGAAAAAAGAAAGATTATGAGATCTAGACAAAGGTGAGTGACAAACGGGAAAAAAACAACAGATTGTATTAAAAGAAAATCATTGCAGTTTGCAGTGTCTTTACCCATTAATGCATGTATTTAAAGAGCAATAATTCAACCAAAGCACACAAATGAAAGTCAAATGGACATCTGACACCTTTGAGTATATAAACCTGCACATTTTGTGCACACTTTGCATACCAGAGCTGAGGAGCAGGCGCCCAGGCCTGACTTCCGATCGTGTGCACTACTGATGTCCTGGCCTGCGCGCTCTCATTGTCTCCCGCCGTGTTGTCATTGAGGCTTTATGCTTTGCTTTTGTATTTTCTCTAAATATGAATGTTTTATCCAAACTGGCCCAATTGCTTAACCATCCATACGCTACTCCACCCACCGCTTCGGTAAGACATGAAACCATGAGACTGAGCTGTATGAATACACACAGATGTACACTCAGGCGTCTCGACCGAGTATGTAACACTGGCAATTTCATATGTTTTGATAGGCAGATATAAAACTGCTCATTTTTAATGGAATAATACCTAAAGAGCCAAATGTGAAGCCATTATCACAGATGACTTACACTGAAAGCCATTTAAATGCTTTAAAATTAATCCATGAATCACCTTGATGTTTTTAATTGCAAATTTATAACTAGAAAAGTATATAAATCTGATAGAAGCAAACAAGGTCAGCACAGACAAATCGAACGCTGACTGACAGAACTAGACATTCACTTTGCAACAAAAGTATTCAGCTTCCCACTCCCCCTCACTTTCACACAGGAAGCTCTTCCTGAGCTGAGGTCATAGAGACTGGGCTCTGGAGGAGCACTTCAAATCCCAAACCCTCTCTTACAGTCTCTGTCTTTCCCTCGCTGAGTTCCCACAACAAACTGTTTTCACAAGAGAAGCAAGATTCTTCAATAATAAGGGAGGCTGGGGCTAGATGTCACACTGGGAAGTGGTCACAAGGGTTATATCTAAATAAGAAAATTTAGTCTAGTCTAATTGCACATATATATTTCTATATGTTGGTTTCAAACATATAGTTAAAATAAATATTGGGAACATTTGGTATATTCTGTCCTTTAAGGTAAACAAAGCTTACAAAGAGGATGAACTATATAATGAAGTATATAAGGATGATTTTAACTAATTTTCTTAGGTCTTTAAGGAAAAGTTCTGAAATTGACTTTAAAATACATCCAATATAAGAAACAGTAAGTCTGCTTGACTTGCTATTTGTCTCATGCTATAATTTCAGTTAAATGTTTAAATGAATGAATGAACACTATCTCAATAAACAATGTAAAGAGAACACTTTAAAGGGGTCATATGAAGTTGCTAAAAAGAACATTATTTTGTGTATTTGGTGTAATGAAATGTGTTTATGCGGTTTAAGGTTCAAAAAACACATTATTTTCCACATACTGTACATTACTGTTTCTCCTCTATGCCCCACCTTTCTGAAACGCGTAGATTTTTACAAAGCTCAGCGCCTTCACGACATGGTGGCGGCGGCAACAACAATACTACAGCGAGAATAAAAGTTACGCCTTCTTTCTTTGCGTGAACATTTGGGCGGCGTTATGCAAATCTTCCCACATCGTGACGTAGACATGTGGGGGCCATAGGCGTAGCTTGATGATTGAGTTTGGGGGGGCCAAACCAAACCGGTGGATTTGGTCAGATGTACATTTAAACACATTTTAGTTTTGCTATAGTAAATCTACATATTCACATTCACATAGAGCAGTGGCAAGTGCGTGAGGTTGTCATGGTAACCACATCCAAACAAAGTAGTTTCGCTTTCACAACGAAGCACAGCGTCACACGGCGGCCTTGAGTGTGCAAATCTTCCCACATAGTGAGGTAGTTATGTGGGGGCGTGTTAGAACGAGCCGTTTTAGGTAGGCGTGGTTGACTCTTAACTTTTATAAAGAATATCTCTTTGGATTTGAGACTTTAGTCTTTGCAACTTTACAGATCTTCTTTATGCACCAAGAGCTTGTAACACTTCAAAGAGAAAGGAAAAATTGAAATCTCATCATATGACCCCTTTAAGACATCTTTGACTTTAAGAGTCTACTACTGTAAGACTATATTACAATAATGTTAGGCTATATAAATGTTATTAGGACAAAAGGTGTTTTATAATTTCAACATGAATACAAAATTATGACAATTACGTTTTAACATTTTTATGTATTTTGATATGATTATAACCAATGTGCTTGGGACTTTTTCCCCAGATATGTCAGGTCAATAAAAACAATTAAGCTTATGTTAAAGTTCCAAAGTCTTTAGGTAAAGCTGCAAGATGACTAAAAATAAACTCAAGTGAAATACTCACTTGATTTAAAAGTGACAACTATCTCCCCTATTACTTGACCTAGAAGAGAAACGTGATTAGGAATTAGTTAAACGGAATTAATATAGGCTATTATTAATATCATTTGGGACAAAAAATTATTCTCCAAACTCCAAATTCATACAACCTTTGAAGAGTGTGATGGATAAAAACGCCATTGCTTCAAACGCTGAGGCGGAGTACAATTACATAATAGCATCTCCTCCCTACAACGCCCATTACACCCATCCAATCGTACAATCCCAACTTTAGAAGTAAATCTACACAATCGACTATACAGTTTCATATCGACCTCTATCTGCTAAGCATTTTCGTGGGTGAGTAGCAACACAAAACATACCTTGCTCCCTGAATGTAAACACAGACGGGCGCACTGCGTGTTAATCGCGTGTCCACATGGCGGCAGAAGTGAGTCGACACCGGTGATGTTATGCGGATCGTCTGAACAATTAGATGCTGCTGAGTCGCTCTGATCCATTCACAACACGCTCCATCCTGTTTGAACGCTTATAGTCTGCAACTGCGTTTATGTTCTGAATAAAGCAAATTACAGAGTAGAGTAACAAACAAAAATAAAACCCATCAAGTCATTTCAGACATTAAACTAAACTCTACTCCAGTCTCTTAAAGTGACAATTTGAAAATTCAACCTTAATTTATTCACCATCGTGTTGTTCTAAACACGTTCAACTTCTTCGCTAAACACAGAATATGTGTAGAGGAATATTAAAGGGATTCCGTTTACTTTAATTGCTTTTTCCCACACAATGAAAGTGACCGTGGACTGAGATCTGTATTCTGTCAACATGTCCTTTTGCGTTCCACTAAAGAAGTCACGCGTGTTTAGAACATGATGATTTTTTATTTATTTTTGAGTGATCCATTCCTTCATTATCGGCGAATTAAACACCTTAGCGCAAACTGATGCTCTTTCCAAAGAAAATCACACAGCACATACCTCGCCCGCGCCCCGCCCACTGGAGGAGGAGCCATGTCTCTTCTCTTCTAAACGCTAGCAGCGAGAATAATACTTCACAGCCTCAAACACAGAAGCGCAGAACAGTCTTCAGTCGCCGCGGTAGATGTGCGACTCCAAAAGGGGGCACAGCGACTGCGATAAAGAAGGGACAAGAAAACGCACTCAGAGGTAGGACGCTCACGTCTTTTAGTGTCAGTTAAACTACGCGAACTACGTTTCATTCAGGCGAAATATTATTTCTAAACTATTTGCTTGTCTGCTCGACTTGCTATTGAAGGAGTTTGTGTCTTGTCCTGTAATTACAGTCCAACGTTTAAGTGAGTTAATGAACGCTATCACAATAAACAATGTAGAGAGGACACTCCAAAGACATCTGTGGCTTAAGAGACTGCTGTATAGAACTGTAGTACAGCAAAATATTATAATATAGTATTTTTTAATTACAGATGTCTTTATGAAAAACGCGTTGTACATTTTTAGTTATTATTAGTAGTAGTATTTAATAATAATAATAATTATTATTATTATTATTATATCATAGTTATTACAAATATCTAGTCTGTTTTGTTGAAAGTTTGTTTTATAATGCATTTACAGTTCAAAGTTTATTTAAGAGTATTTTAATGAATATTATTAATATCACACTATACAGTGTGGACAGTGAGATGACACTTAAAAGACATTAGAATGAGAATCATTTAAAAAAAGATGTTTGACTTTTTACCTCCCAGCATCTTTGTTGGGACAAAAGCTTTTATTTTAAAAGCTGTGGTGATTCTAAGACATCAGTTTGTGTGTTTCACAGGGAGAATGCCAGCTAAAACCATGAACTCCGATTTGGAATTTGACTCCTTGCAACCTTGTTTTTACCCGGACGAGGATGACTTCTACTTCTGCAGACCAGACGCTGCACCGCCTGGTGAGGACATCTGGAAGAAATTCGAGCTGCTGCCCACTCCTCCTCTGTCCCCGAGCCGGGCAGCGCTTCCAGGGGACCCAGGGGAGCTGGGTGCTGTGGCTGGGGATTGCTCTCTGATGGGATTTGGATTAACGGACCCATTGGACTGGGCTTCCGAGCTTCTGTTCTTACCAGAAGACGACATTTGGGGGGCATCAGATGGGGACCTCTTTGGCTCAGTTTTGGATACTACAGACAATTCCATCATCATTCAGGACTGCATGTGGAGTGGCTTCTCAGCACGTGAGAGATTGGAGCGGGTGGTGAATGAGAAACTCGGGAAAGCCATCTCTGCTCCTACCGTTACTGAAGCCGGTAAAGACACGACAGTCAAGACACCCGAAATGAGCCACTCTGTACCAGAGTGTGTGGACCCTACTGTGGTTTTCCCTTATCCAGTCAACAAAAGAAACGGGAGCAGCAACAACAGCCAAAGTGTGACACAGCTGAGGAGCCAACACTTGCCTCCAGTCAGTGCAGATGAGACACCAAGTGACTCTGGTAAGTGTCCCCTGACATGCTGTTCATGTGAAGTTGTTAAGTTAAGTGTTTCCTAGAAACTGTCACTGAATACATGTCATGAATTATATTTTTTCCCATTTTCCCCAGTTGTTTCTAAACAATTCTGTATATGTATATATATATATAATATATATAATTTTTTATAATTATGTTGTATAATTTTTATTTCTTATTAATGACCATAAGCAACAAATTATGATGATGCTGCTGTTAAATAGTTTGCCTAGTTTGTTAGCGGTCATTGGGGTTATTGTTGAAGATCATATGACAGGCCCTGAATCGGATTAGTGTGTGACATTCCAGACTGTTGGTCACACACACACAAACATACACTCAGTAGTAGTAGTGGGCGGTGATGGGGAGTTTATGTAATACTCGGTCTGCATACCCAGTAGATGGCGGTAATATTTGATGTTGTCCATGATGTTGAGCCATTTGGCCGAATAGCTCATGGTTAAAGATTTAATGCAGAGAATAACGTCACTGAGCCACATTACACAGGAAAACATGTCCTTATCTGCCCTCCATTAATCTGGCTTAAGGCATGGAATCACAATCTAATTTGACAATTTATTAGGTCACAGCATTGTGTTTCTTACGATATGCAAGATTGTTTTGAAACATAAATGTTATTTTTAAAATTGCTATTTTTATTTATAAACTGAGAGCTCTTGATTGTGTAAAACCAAAGGCTCAGATGTTTGGGAAGGGGGGGTGTGAGCAAGGGCAGATTGCATAAAAGCCAAGCCCCTAAATTCAGTGCCCCCCAATAAGTTGCTTCCCTTCGAAATGAGAACTTGTTTCAAATGCAAATCCCAAACGACAATCACACGTGGGTGAGAGAATAAGAGCTGGCACTGGGCACCAGCATGCGAAAAAGGAGGCATGCGCGTGCATCCACAAGAAAGGCAAACCTGCCCCCCCTCCTTTCTGCCCAGTGGGCTGAGCTTGGCAAGCCAAGCATCTTCCAAAGAGGTGCAGTGAATGATAATCACAAGAAAAAAAAACGAGGAAGGGGAAAAAAAGAGATGATGGGTCATCTCTCTTTACAGGGTGACGGCTTTGAACAAGCGGAGCCTTTCCTCCAGCTGTCTGCTTGGCGCCCCTCCAGGGCAGCGGCTTAAGACGCCATCAGATCAGTGTTACTCGGCAAAGCCCGCGAATAATTGGACCACACGATTACAATGCTAGTTTTTCCCGCCCGTGCTGTTATCCCTTTTCGCGGGCAAACCAGTGGAAAAGGGGAACACGCTGACTGTCTGCATTCTGTTGGAGACTAAATTGCCCCGTTTGGTCTCTCCTTAACGCTGGCAGACGGTTTCCTGTAGGGAGCTTTTGAAGTGAGAGGCTGTGGGCTCCAGTAAATGCCAAACAGTCTTCATGTGTGGCTTAGTTAATCACGTCCATTATCTCATAAACATAGCTCTCGGGCGTCACACTGAGGCCGTCTTGCCATCTAAGCTTAATTTGAAATGTGTCACCAGTTGAGAAAGCACCAAGTGAAATGTCTAACTTGACAGCAAAACAGCTTTTGTAAGAAAATATGACATGACGAAATGGTCATGTGCTCGCAAACCCCTTCATTAGGTGCCATAAACAGAGGGTGTGTGTTAAAAGTAGAAAGTCAAATCTAAGGTGGTCCAGTCTGGGGAGAATCCAGCTCCTCTGTGTTTGACAGAGCGTGTTCAGATGATTGCATTGTGTGGGCAGATGAGACAATTGCTCAAAGACATTAACTCCAGCACACACCTAGAGAAAAAACAGGCATGTTTCCTTTAAGTGCACTTGTTCATACCTGTGCACCTCTAGAGGAATGGTTGCACAACAAACCTGCTAACCTAAATCTCCTTTTTTCCCTCTAGATGATGAGGATGATGAAGAAGAAGAAGATGATGATGATGCAGGAGCTCATTCTGAAGAGGACGGCAGCAGCCTCCATCCACCAGCAGCAGCATAACTACGCAGCCCCATCCCCTTACTCTGACCAGCAAGACGTACCCAGTGCTCCCCCAAGCAAGAAACTCCGAATCGACAACAGCACTATAACTCTACGCACTGGCAGGAACCAGAACTCTTCCCCAAACTCCCCTACTAACGGTGTACCAAGCCAGCGAATGAGGAAGAGCGACTCCAGCAGCCCACGATGCTCCGATTCTGAGGACAGCGAACGCCGGCGAAACCACAACATCCTGGAGCGCCAGCGGCGCAACGACCTGCGCTCTAGCTTCCTCACTCTGCGCGACCAGGTGCCCGAGCTGGCGCACAACGTCAAGGCAGCGAAGGTGGTCATCCTTAAGAAGGCCACCGAGTACGTCAGCTCCCTAGAGGCCCGAGAGCTCCGACTCCAGCAGGAGAAAGACAGATTGCAGGCCCGACGACAACAGCTCCTCCGCAGGCTCGAGCAGGCCAGGACTCGCTAACCCTTAACCCTCGTTGGCTGAACGCCTCACAGCTAATGGTCGACGTCAAATGACGAACGACGGAGCGCTAAGGCTAACGGCCTAAAATACATTTTAGGGACACTCACTGCTGACACTTTTTTGCACATTTTTTGACGTCAAGAATGTTTCAGGTTTACTTTGTCACCCCAATCACGCTACAACGGAGTTGGGTAAAGCCAACTTCTCCTCAACGGAAAGACTCTCATAAACACAGCTAGTCTTCAAAACGTGATTGGGTCGACGAACTTTGTGTTCACGCTCTTCCTGCAAAACGGACACTAAACAAATGACACGAGACACTTCGAATGGCTATAATCTCTCACACCTCAACGGTGCTGAATCTCATGGATGTACCTCTGCGCACCTTGATGTCAGACACTTTTGTAAATAGATTAGATTTTAAAAGAACGTACACTCAGTCTGCCTTGTTTTTGTATACGATTATCGTCTTTTGGTTTTTATAAAGATGTCAAAAGCTGCCAATAACTAGACTGGAAGTTTATATACCTTTAACAAGTACTGTAAGACCTCGATTTGTGAGGATTTTTGTAATATAAGGACACATTGTTTTGTTTTTGGATAATTTTTTTGTCTTATAATCTCTGTTATGACACGCTTTACTAATTCCTACATTTATGCTTTAGTGTGCTTCTGATACATACTAAATTTGATACTTATATTTTCGTATGAAAATGAGTTCTGAGTAGATATCACTTTATCTTGTTTTTATCCTTTTCTCTACCTTAATGTCTTTTGTACAGAAAATTCTTTCTATCTCCATTTATAAGGCTTCTATTGTTTGCTGTCTTTCTCTTTCTTTGTTTATATATTTGTAAGTATTGGGTTCATAGAACTGGGTCAGTGGGGAAAAAAAGTATTTTTTTTTCTCCTTTTGTATAATGTACATTTTAGTGCTGCAACTCACAGCACTTTGAAATACCTCATTTTGAAAAATAAATAGACATTTTGAAAACAAAAGATGAGTGCTTCTGTGTCGCTGCTAGTCCTGTCAGGAATTGAGAAACAAGAAGCTGAACTACATTTCAGACATGCTTGAAGCCCCTCTGTGGGCGGCAACATCCACCTTTCTAGCAGCCCTGAAACAACTCACTAAGTTATGACTTTCAAGGGGATGCAAGTTATGACTTTGAAAGCAAAAACCCACAGTTAAATCATACTGTCAAATAAAAATACCTGTCACTCATTTCAAGCATGAAAAACTGGACAAATCATAAATAACTTTTTTCTCTCAGTTTTTTACTATTTTACTTCAACATCAAGTCAAAACTGACTTTATCATTAGATACTTGAAACAAATCTAATATCTACATACTTGAATTGACTCCTGTTTTGAACAAATCTCATATTTGCAGCATGTTTTGGACTTTTTCCCCTCATTTTCTTTTCAACCGTTCCGGTTTTTCATTCGTCAAGCCATTCTCCCTCCATCTGCCTCGCTATGAAGAAAGATCTGGTTGACCAAGCCCTCTCTGACAAAGGAGAACGAGTATCTCCCTCGTTATTCACTCTCTCTCTCTTTCAGTTGATTTAGAAATCGGCAGGGCACATCCACATGCACTTTCAGGCACTCATACACAAAAACAAACGTTGGCACACACACTCTCAGCGCGAGTGGATATGAAAGCGTGCGCAGCTCACACTCAGACTGGCCCCCGCAGCTTCTTACCTCATTGTTCTGCGCGTTACCATGGAAACTGGAGCAGCTGCAGCGTGGCAGACTTCAAGTGCGAGTGTGTTTTATTCTATTTGTGCATGCGTGTGTACGTGTACGTGCAAATGGCGGGAGAGGGGGGCGTCTTTTGTGCAGAGGCCATCGTGGCCTGTGCTTCTAATATCCTGCTGGACCGAGGAGCGGGCTTGTGTTTACTAACTTCAGTCACATGGCCTGAAAGCTGACTGAAGACCCGCCCACCAATGTGTCACAATGAACCATTTTCTCTGGTCCAGAATAAACAGACAGAATAAGAATTCTACTGCTGCAATACAGGAGAAACAAGGTCTGGCCGAGCACAGAGAGAGAGAGAGAGACCTGCGATTATAAACTGGACCGTCTAGACTGATTGGTTACATAACAGTCTGTGTTGTAGATGTGTGCGTGTCTGCGATGTTTGGTCCCCAGGATGAGGTAACCATGGTACCCCACTGTGCCATCTGGCCGATGGCTTATCCTGCCTGGTTATGGAAAAAACAAAAACAAAGCCTCGAGCTAAGACAATAACACACCACCACTGATAGAACTGGCCGCTGTACAACACTCTGTATGTTATTTAGTTTTTCAAACCTGAGATTTTCAAAGATATGGGTGAATACGGATAAAATGGGAGACTTTTTGATCATTTGTCATTGAAGTTTTAAAATTTGATGTTTAACCCCTTAAACAATATGGTTTTAAATAGCTAAATATCTCCTCTATATTTTACAAACATGACATTTTTATCTGTAGAGCTGCTTTACAGCTGAAATTGAATTTGTTTTCGTAATTGATGAATTTTACAATATTAACACTGTTAATTATTAACGTGAAGCTGTTTTGAAACAATCTGTATATAAAGCATGATGGTGTAAAAAGTTTAAATCAGAAATTGCTAGTAAATTTAAAAAAAAATTATAATAATGGCAAGTAACATTACATGTGAAATAGCATTTTCTTGTAAAACATACTCCAATTATCTTTATTTACAACTTTGAAAAATCATTTTACAATGTATAAATTAAAAAAAACTTAATTGAAATGTATCAGTTTACCTGTTTTCACCCTTCATGTGTTATATGTCACATATGTTCTCTCATATTTCTTTCTTTCTCCTGCTCAAACATTAGTTATTGCTGTCTGATTGATATGTACTGGTCTCAGACATGCGTGTTGTCCTATAATAAACTTGGAGACAAGAGCTTCATACTATGTGAGTGTATGATTGTTTATGGTATGGTTAAATATGTATGTCTATATTTGAATCAGTCTCAAAAGGGGTTATGAAGTTCAGTCAGAAGGGATTGAGTTCAAAGCACAGATTTTGAGGGGTTTTGATCGGTACCATCAAAAGGTAATGCCATAAAAACACTATAATAATGTTATGTTATGTTATGTTATACTATACTATATTATATTTATTATATTATGCAGTATAATGGCATTTTCAAAACCCCACACCTTAAAAAATGTCTCCTCTGGAATGTTCACACTCCAGCAGTATTCAACAGATTAGCTGTGCTGTGGAACATTTCAGTGTCAGCCTGTCAATCAAGTCTCTGCTGTATGAGGGGACCAGCGCTTGTTGTGGAGTCACACGATGGACAACATATGGGAAACTGTAGACAGACTAAAGACAGGATTTACAACAAAAGCCAAAGTCACAACAACATGCTCTGATTCTTATCAACCGGCACCGTCAGAAATGTTCTAATCCATATAACATGCAGAGTTGCCACCCAAACAAAAGGATGCCAGCTTTAAAAATGCCCCTCACTGGATGGGCATTGTCTCCAGGAGGCAAGAGGAGAGGGGAGGGGGTGCCATCTGTTCTGGGTCAGGTGCAGAATGTGGTAATATGTGTACTGTAGTGGTGAGAGAGATTCATGTGTGATCAAACTTTACCAGTGTGTAGCAATTACCATACAGATGGCAGTGCCCTGTAAATGTCAGCCACCTCTCTATCTCTTCCCTGTCGCTCCTTCAGAGAATTGTCCATTGTGTTTTCTTTGTTGCTTTTTAGCTCATTTTCATTTTAACCTTCAGCACGTGTGCAAACACAGCCTTTCATCCATGACACAATGAGTCTGACCTCAGCATCACACAACAAATCCACACACACACACACACACACACATACTGATTTCCATTTTTTTTGTGGGGACATTCCATAGGTATTCCATGGTTTTTCTACTGTCCAAACTGTATTTTCTATCCACTTACCCTAACCCTACCCCTCACACAAAACTTTCTGCTATTTTAGATTTTCAAAACACTTATTCTATATGATGTACAAGCTGTTTTCCTCATGGGGACCTAACAATGTCCCCACAGGGTCAAAATTTACTGGCATTACTATACTTGTGGGGACATTTGGTCCTCATAATGTGGTGCACACACACACACACACACACATAAAAAGAAGTAGGACACCCTCCAAATCTGATTGATTTCAACTAAAACAAATGTTGCTTTATTCTGTTTCTGGTAGAGCTACATGATGAAGACAATATTTTGTCAATATTTTCTCCTGTATTGTAATCACAATCATTTATGTTTATTTGATAATTTGGTGCTCAGTTATTATCAATTATAACTTGGTGTTCAAATATAAATTTATTATTATCATCTTATTATTTTCAGTGTTAAAAATAGTTGTGCTGCTTATTTTTTTTTTTTCAGTAGTGAAACACAGTTTCCACAAAAATTAGCAAAAACTTTTTTCAACATTGATAATAATAAGAAATCAGCACCAAATCAGCACATTCAATCATTTCTGAAGGATCATAAGTCACTGAAGACTGGAGTAATGATGCTGAAAATTCAGTTTTGCCATCACAGAAATAAATAACATTTTAAAATATATTAAAATAGAAAACAGTTATTTTCAACTGTAATAATATTTCACGGTATTACTGATTTTACTGTATTTTTCATCAAATAAATTCAGCCTTGGTGAGCATAAGAGACTTCTTTCAAAAACATATATATATATATATATATATATATATTTATTTTTTATTTTTTATTTTTAAATCATATTATTTCAAACTTTTTGACCGGTAGTGCATATAATTTAAATCGCTGTAGCCATCATAGCAATAGCAATAATTTTTCTATTAATTGTGCAGCAGAAATTTCTCCATACAATAAGTGTTAATATTGATCACCTTGTTTTCGCAACATTTTGACAGACTAATTTAGCTGTTCCGTTGAAATGATGACCTCATTACAAAGCCTAAACTATGATCATGTCCAGTACTGGTTGGTCCATAATATGGAGTCCAGATGTTGCCAGGGGTTTTTAGGGTCATAACTCAAACTGCCCTGTAAAAGACTCTTACCTTTCGCCCTGAGAGTAATGAGCACTCTATGTGTGTGTTTTGTGCGTCAGAAACCATCATTCTTTCACAAAAGTTTGTGCACAAATGTGCTTGGCCTGATTTATTATTTTTTTGTTGCTGTATAAACTAAACTTACCATTTTAGAGAGCATTACTGCAAATTACACATAGCCGGGTCCTTGACTAGCTTAAATAAACCACCAGGACAAATGAGTTAATTAAAGCAGTACATGCTAAATGAGACAGATTAAGAGCCACAAAACGAAAGATACAATTTCTAAATAACTTTTGGCAGTTTAATCAAATAATTTTAACATCGAACAACCCCATTTTTTCAGCAAACAACTTTACGTTTAGTGGGAGACTCCTGAGAAGTCTCTTCAGAGGGGAAGAACTGTCAGAACTAGAGACGAAATGCCCATTTCATGCTAATTAAAGTCCCATCAACTAGGTTTGATCTCCGTGACCTGACAGAATAGCACCTTTAACCTAGAGAGACACACACACTTATGAACACTGGATGATATAGCGCACTAGAGATGGCACAGGCCTTTCAGCAATATGTGAGCCTGAAGAAAAGGGCAGAGGTTAGGAAAGCAAGCGTAACAATTCAGGGCTGGTAGGGGGCGGCGCTATTGTTCAAATGTCCTGATCTCTCCGGCTCTGACAGTTATCTGTCTGCTTGATCACAGAGAAGTTGGAGCTTCTCAGACAAATGTAGGCCAGCCCTCAAAGGAAATCAGCTTAATGAACCTCAGTGAGGCATTTAGTTTACAAAAAAAAAAAAAGAGGGGCGGCTTGCCAATGACTTAATGAATGATGTTTTTCTGCAAATCATGTGTTTCTTGTTTAGTCCATTTAAAAAAATATATATATAATTACTGCAGTGAAGTGTCTTCCTTACATTAATACTGCTCAT